TATTATTGCTGTTATGCTCAAAGGTCTTGGCTTGGTCTTTTTGGCAGCAGGGGTCCAACTTAGACTAGATGAATCCTTTTTTTCGACTAGGCTCTGTAAGAATGAAAGATAGAGTTTGCAAATCAGTGTTGTAATGTAGATAAAGAAAGCAGTATAGCCAGCGGTTTTATCAAAGGTTTGTAGACAAAGGAAATAAGAGAAACCCGATTAAACTGTTATTGTTTTGTTGTTGTTTTTGTTGTTTTTTGTTGTTTTTTGTTGTTTTTGTTGTTTTTGTTGTTGTTGTTGTTACGAATCCTACAACAGCTGGGCTTTTGTCAGTCTGTCAAATGCCATGTAGTGACACGTGCAGATTTACTAGACTGTGTTGTCAACAGGAGGTTACAGAAATGTAATATCCTTGGTTTTCAATGTTCGATCTCGGAGGGAGAAGTGAAGTTGATGTCATAATTTAAAGATGTGTAGTGGAACAGGTGAGGATTCTCTGTATCATATCCATGGTCAAACATGTGTGTGTGGAGGGGGGGGCGCTGGTTTAATAATGTTCAAGTGGAAGTTGAAATGCTCGGTTCGTAGTCGGAAGATAATGGCCTATTTCTTGCTCTGTAGGTGGTTGGTAGTGTCATTTCCTTTTATTGTAGTCCCATGTTTGTACTCTGCCTGTCTTTCTCAAGGCACATCTGCTCATCTAATATTGTTTGTTGTTGCTTTTAATTATTTGTTTTGCAGTGTTGTGTGAAGTTGGAATGTTGGGATGTTCTTGTCTAGATGTCCTTTTGGCAAGTGTGTCTGCTCTGTCATTTCCAGACGTGTTTCAGTGTTCGGGAATCCACTACATAACCAGGTTGACACCACAGAATGTTACCAAGTGGTGGGATTCAAACAGTATGTGTCAAATCATGGTTTAGATTATGGTCATTTTCTTTCTCATACAAGACTGACAGTGAGTCAGTGAAGTTCACAATGTGTAGTTCGGATGACAGATGTTTAATTGTGTTGATGGCGTAGGCTTCTTTTATTTTCCTTTTCCACAACTCACAGACAAAACCATTTGCCAATAATTTTGTCGTAGTGCTGTACTTATCTTGGCTAAGGGGCTTCTGGTTACAACTCTTTTGGCTATCTAATTTGCACAATAGTCGAAGGCTAAACCTGGTGTTTACAATTACTGATGTGATATATTTCTACGAACTTGACCAATACGCTGAAATTCCAGACCCCAGTTTGGTTATTTCTCTTTTGTCTTCCTATACAGTTTTTGATTGTTTCAGCTTCGAAAACTTACACTTTCGGTTGGTCAAGAGTTTCTTTTCAAGCCAAAGAGCTTTTATGCATCAAGTAGAACTTTGGTCCTACAAATAGACAAACCGAACAATCGAAAAGCAGGAATCTCTAATATCAAAAGACAGATATTGAGCAGATGAAGATATTCGCAAACAGGAAATAAAAGTGAGCGCTAATTGACGTAGTTCTTCAACGCACTAACACAGGCAGACAGGTTCTCAAAACTAAAGTTTCCGGCAAGACTATATAAACAGGCTGTATTCTGTGCCTTCCCTGTGTTCAGCCAACTGACATTGGGCAGCTCATTGTGTGAGACCTAAATATAATATAAGATAGAGTGTGTCGAGGTTTTAGTGACACCGACGCTCTGGCGGCCTCTTCGTCCCTCTTGTTTTATCATGGCTTCAACATTTCAAGAATTACTTCTGTGTTTGTGCCTTGCTATGATTATTACCGGCATCTTTGCGGACCAGCAATTTCAGTACGTTTTAGCCTTTCCAAAACATGTCAAACACGCCATTCCTTCATTGGCCATCTCACCCCTCTCACAGGACTTTGTTCAGAACATCGAGGTCACTGTAACAGCACCCGCACGTAAGACGGCATCAGGTGAAATACGGACTCAGGAATATTCACACAACTTTTCGTCCTCCTCAAACGAGCAATGGCTTCTGAACCTGGAGTATTTGGTTCATTTTGAAATGTCAGGCATAGGGAAGAGTCAAGGTATCATGGTTACTTCGACATCTCAGCTGGTCGTTCGGGCTAAAAGTTTGAAAGTCAGAATGGCTGAGGACTTTAAAAAAAGTGCTGGGGCCTTTAATGTAATGCCCACTACTCTATTATCTCATGAATACGTAGTGGTCACAGAATGTTCGTCTTCGTTTTGTTTTCTACTTGTCGTTAACCCCGATGGATCCAATGACGTCATAATTGAATTGAGCCTTCAACCAGCACAAAGAGAAATCATTTACAATAACGGAAGCACTGATATTATTTTGCATTCCGGTCAGGTTTTGCCTGAATCTTTAGGTCCATTAGATGTTTTGCAAATTTTGGGAAAACAGACTGACCTTACAGGTACATGGGTCAGGGCAGAGAGAAAAGTAGCTGTCATCACAGGAACAGATTTCAGCTGCGTGTGGATACAGCGGGATTTGTGTAGTACACTCGACATGGCAGTCGAGCAATTGCCCCCTGTGTGTTCTTTAGGGCAAAGCTACGTTTTTGCACCTTTTGTCAACTCCAGTATTAAATCGTTTGTTAAAATCGGATACACCAGTCCATCGACGACTGTTTTTGGTCTGGACAATGTTCTGATAAATGTGAACACGTCTCAAGATTTTCCCACATTTTTCACTTTTCAACTAAACGGAGACTCGATAGTTTATCTCTACGCTTCTGCACCTGTGTTAGTTCTACAGTATGTTGTGGCCTTGAAGCACACCACTTTCTTTGACTCATCAGTGACAGTTATATATCCTCTCTCCAAATGGAGAACTCATGCTGAAATATTACCTTTTGATGACATGAATCTAATAACGTTAATCGTTGCTTTGTGCAAGTGCATAAAAGAAATTAAGATTGGAGTATCTGTTGAAGAGTTCAAGACAAGAGCAAAACGTGAACATCGTTATTGTTCAAGACAAATGATCATTACCTCGAGCACAAAATTAAATAAAATTTTTGTAAACAGTGACGAATGTTTGTTCAGTGGTGTCGTTGTGGCTACTCACCGAGACAAAACGGGTTGGGCCGTTCCATTGGTAACCTTTCAACCCATTGATGACAACACAACATCTTGTGAGCTTCAGTTGACGAGTACAGAGGTACAGAAATCCAACATGAAGAGCCTCACAACAGCTGCGGGAACAACACAGGCGACACTCAAGTCTACTGAAGAAGACGTCACGGTTTCGAGTAGAATATCGGAAACATCTAACGATAACAACGGTCCAGCTTTTGAGGAAACGTCTAACGATAATAACAGTCTAACTGTTGAGGAAACATCTAACGATAATGGCGGTCTAACTGTTGGGGAATCATCTAACGATAATAACGATCTAACTATTTGGGAAACAACACAGGGGACACCCGAGGCTACTGAAAAAGACATTACGGTTTTGAGTAGAATACCGGAAGCATCCCACGATAATAACAGACAAACTGTTGAGCAAACATCTCCGGTGACACCAGAGTCTACTCGCGATAACATAAAGTTTTGGAGTAGAATATTGACAGTAGCCAAAGATGATAACAAAAATACTGTCGAGGAAATATCTCAGAGCCCGATTTCAAAGATCAGATTCATCTTGTGCCCATGTTCATGTCTTTCTGGATCTCAGAATTATCGAGATCTGCTAAATGAGACAATGCCATTCTTGTCCTCAAAGAGGGCAGCCATCCAGAGCTTTCTCCACGTTCCTAGGGCGAACCTCTCAAGAAGAGTGAGGAGTAAAATGTGCGCCATAGACCACAGGCCATCCAGTACTTCAATTGGTTTTGTCGTGTTTGGCTGCACGATTTTACCAATATTTGGAATTCTAATACTAAATGATTGTTACAAGGCTTTACGTTGGCTTCTCCGTAGATAGCTCAAAGACCACCCCTTCCCCCCAAATAAAGAAGAACAAAAAAATAAAGAACAAACAAACAACAAAGACAACAACAAAAAGCATACACACACACACACACACACACACACACACACACACACACACACACACACACACACACACACACACAGGGAAGAAATAGTTGCATGCTTCTATGTGAGTATTCGGATCTGCTAGGGTCAAAGAAATAAGTATGAAAAAGATGTGTTGTTTGCGTTTAAAATTAACATTTCGCTCAAAAAATCGTTTTTGTATTTCTCTTTTTATCTTTCCTCCTCAAAAGCTTTGAGTGGCGTAGTTTTAAGGTGTTGCCTAGATGTAGGTTTGTAGACATAATTTAACCCCCTCCATCGACCACAGACGTGGAAAGTGTGACAGGTGGTTCTATTGAGAAAAACAAAAAGAACAACAGAAAACACAGCCCCCCCCCCCACCCAAAAAAGAAAAAACACAACTTTTAACTCAAGCTACATCATAGTAATGCGTGATAGATCATGAATGAGTTCGTTTCCAGGGTTATAATAATGGTATATTGCAAACCCTAATCGACCTTATTTACCTAATCAATTCTGCCTGTCAGGGCCAACCCAGGCTCTAAGTGGACGATGGTATAAATTTGCAAGTTAAAATTATTTAGTTTCACGACGTATCAAACTTTTTCGAAAGCAATTCTCTGGATATCTTGATTAACAACTCCGAATAATCTTACGATTCTTTTAGAGCAGATAGTACTTTGGTTTCCAACCTCGTGGTCTTAGTAATACAAAACGGTCAAAAATGTCAGATAGAACTTTGTAATTTTAAAGTAATGATATTATGAGTTCCACAATATTAATTTTCTGGAAGCAGCAAAGAAGATCCTTGCAATTAAATTCAGAATACCTCACATCTAATAGACATTGATGGTTAGTCATTTTCTCAAGTGAATATCAACATGAATAAAAATTCTTTCGTATCATCATCATTGTGAGCTTTTCCGTCTTTCTTTGTAATTTGTGAGATAACAACAAAAAAATAATTGTGCACGTCCAAGTGATGACTGTTCGTGTATATACACACACACACACACACACATATATATATATATAGACATACACATATATATATATGTGTGTGTGTGTGTGTTTGTGAGTGTGTGTGTGTGTGTGTGTGTGTGTGTGTGTGTGTGTGTGTGTGTGTGTACGTGTTAATGCGTATATGTATATAAGTATGGGTGTGGTGTGTGTGTGTGTGTGTGTGTGTGTGTGTGTGTGTGTGTGTGTGTGTGTGTGTGTGTGTGTGTGTGTGTTTGTGTGTGTTTGTGTATGTTTATGATTGTGTTTGAGTTGGCGTGTGCAAGTATTCATTTACCATGTGATTGCAGAGTCCTCTTTGTGGACATACTAAAATCGTATGTTATCTTATCGTATCTTATCGTATCTTATCTTATCTTATCATATCTTCATAATATAGGTTTATTGTGCTTCTTTTTTAAACCTTTAAAGTGGAATTTTAGGTGAGTATTTCGCTATGAAATCGGAGGGGGGGGGGGTGATATATTTTGTTCTCCCAGACCCTTTCAGACTTTCAGGAAAAGAGTTATATTCCTGGCTGTAGACCGCAATCTGCACAAAAGAAAACCAATAAATAATCCCGGGAAAGACAATCATATAGAAATGGTCGTCATGACTCAAAATGAGTATTTTGCACATTTGAGAGGAATTGCTTCAGTGTTCAAGAGTTGGGGGCCTCAGGGAGTAATCATGAGTGTGCAGGCACAAGAGTTTCATGTGTTTTCAATATAGTATAAATAGCAAACAAAATTCAGAGGCGGCTCGTGGGGGTAAAAAGTGGACGGGCACAATTAATCTATCACATGATGAAGCTAGTCAAGGGCATAGTAAATGAGACGGTGTATAATTTTAGGGTCTTTGGGTTGGTGAGTGAGGACCTCGTGCTTTTATGTTCATTATTTTTACTTGTCGCTTTGATTTCAAGTAATAAATTTGTTTGTAGCTAAACATCAATTTCGTTCATCCTGTATTGGAACTGAACTCTCAAGTAATAACTTTCACCACTCCACTACAAAACGATTCAAAGGTACAACGCATAGGACGTTCACCTCCCTCAGGTTCACGGTCACAGAGTCACTTAAAATAGGCTAGTGGCAAGACAGACAATGAACCAATCTCAATTCACTTGAGCACTCCGCTGGATTGCTCCAGGGCTCACATAATATCGGCAAAGAAGAACGTACGGTCTATTGCGTCGGTGTCCTAGGGGTTAGGCTACCGGACTCGTAATCGTGAGGTTGCGGGGTCGGGGGTTCGAGCCATGGGCCAGACGTTGTGTCCTTGGGAAAGGCACTTTACACGAATTTTCCTCACTTCACCCTGGTGGAAATGAGTACCCGGCCATAGACAGCGAAAGATCTTGTCAGTATGTTAGTGTTTTAGCGCCTAGAAATGGCTGCTTGCACTGTATGCTTCCCAGGAAGTTGAGTTCGTTTCAGAATGCACTCAGGTCTGCTGGGGTAATAGTATAGATTGTGAAGCGCATAGAGCTTGCTGTTGAGCGGAGATTTGCGCTCTACAAATGCTATCTATTTTTAGACTGCCTACTGCGGGCTATTTTTCGGAACTGTTCGGCAGGAGCACATTTGAGATGTGCCGTCTTATTAATATTAATGTACCGCCAAACTCCCTACGAGTGTCGTCATCGCTTGGGTTATCCCCAAGAGCGATTTATTGGTCTTGGCAACCAAATTGTGGCAATAAGAAAAGTGGATATCCTGGATGAGCACAGTTGTTGCAGTAAATTCTGAATCGAAGGTTAAAGTTTATTTTTACCCAATTATGTTTGGAGGTTAAACAAAACACATAACAAGAACTAAGTCTATGTTTGCCAGTGGAACGTGTTTTGACAACTGATTCAAATCGATGGCGGGGGAACGAATTAACACCATTTAACCGGACTGTGAACTTCCGCTATACCGGAAGTTGCGTACTATTTCCTTCAGTGCGATTGGTTGTTTTGTTTGATATCCACAAATGGAAGTAGTGAATTTAACGTCACCCACTTCTCCCACTACCGTATCAAGGGCTACCATTATGTGTACGCTGTAATAAATCCCTCCTTTGATAGTTACAAAGTAACTTTATAGAGAAACTGGGCAAAACGGTAGACGACACGGCGGAATCAGGCGCTCGTCAGTTAGGGGGGCATATGGAGTTATCGGTATCATCTTAAAACCTGTCCATTTGCCTTGCGTTTGATGGATGAAACATCCATTTATCTTGAATAGAAGTCAAGATATTGGCGTTTGGAGGAGGTGGGGGTCGCCTGGTTTCAGAGGTAAAATTAGTGAGAAAATCCCCGCAAGTTTCATTATTTCCCCAGCTTTAGAGTCCGTGGAAACTGAAAATGTACATCTATTATGCCTTTATTCAACTTTTTTTTCTCAGGAAAATCAACACAGAAATGTGTTCTTTAATGGGCATGAAAGATGTTGAGCCAAATAGCAAAAATTCGATAAAACTTCCCAAACCTGTGGCAAAATGCCAGTTTCTTCGCTTTCATTATTTTGACGACAGCCTGATTTCTCCACGCTGCCTCACGATGTTGTCGAACTACGCTATGCTTCATTTCATTGCGTAGTTTTTTTCCGAGCTTTTGGCCAGTCCAGAGAATTTAAAAGAGAGGTATTGGGTACCCCCCCCCCTTGGTAAAAATAATCTTGGGGGTTTCGGGGGAGTGGGGCACCCTCCACCCCCTCTCCCTGTTACCCCCCATAGTTTGATATTTTGCAGTTATGTTTCAAGTTTTCTTGAAAACAATTTATTTGTAACAGTTTTAGTAGCCATAATTTGTGTGATCTGCTGCAAAAAGTAAAGCAGTTTGACCCCCAAAAGCATGCCAGTTGCCCTTGTCCCTAGTCAAATGTACCGAGGAGCGGCAAAGGAACAGCGGGACTAAGCTAGGTCTATATGCGCAGGTGACGAGCTTTCGTCGAGGAATACTGTCTTTACTATTACCCCACAAATATTTTACACCGCAAGATAATTCACTTCTCTCCTTGGGAAACTTTATAAAAATCCTCAAAATTGCCGAAGGCACCTCCAGGGAATTTGTGAACAGCTTACTATAGGAAAAATTAAAGGAAATTATATATCAGGGAAGCTTTGTTACCACGCTCTTCTCGCTGTTTCGTGCAACACAAATTTTAAGGTCGAATGTTATTATGCAATTAGGATGAATGTAGCAGCATGTGAAACAGCCTAATGTAAATTATTATTATATCAATAACATGGTAAGATCTCAATTTATTGACGCCACTGCCCACTTCTCTTTTATATTCGGACGTTTGAGTGAACAGTGGGACGGAAGACTTCATCGTGTTAATCCCAATACATTGTCCAAGGGTAGATGGTCAGAAAGTTTCCAGACTTTGAACTAGTCAGAAACATAGATCTAGTCTATAAAAGTTTTTTGAGTTTATGGAGACCAGTTACAATGCGATTTTGCAGTCCTGCAGTACGCAAAAAGTTACTAAGACTTATATAGTATTAAGACATGGGAACTGACGACCAACAATTGCAAATTGCTGACTTTTGTCGCGTTTTGTCTTCAGCAGAAAGGGGGAGGGGTGGACGATTGTTTTATTTAATTTCAACTGGGCATGAGAGGCCATAGTGCAGTAGTTGAAAAGAACTCATTTTAACGGAAGGCTGATCACAGTACGGAATTACTACAACGATAAAAATTGTTTTTCAAACTAAAGATCAGCTACTTTTTGTCTTGAAAAACGAAAGAGAGCGCCATAACAGCGACAGTAGCGCCAACTGAAAAACTTCGCGGATTTGACGCTTTTATACCTGAGTAAACCATGGTGCAGTTCAGGAGCTTAGATATCCACAATTTGAATTCGCAGTTCAGATTGATCTATTCTGTGATTCGAAATGTTCGGATTCGCAAATCAGAGAATTCGTAGATTTGGTCCCTGCAGTCTAAATTGTCAAAGGTGGCCACCCATTGTGGAAAAGAAAAGTCTTGGTCAATGTCACTAGAAAAAAATGTGGGGGGAGGGGGGGGGGCGAGTTAATAAAGTGGTCGTTTGTACAGGTGATTGTCTTGGAAAGGTGACCGTTAACGTTCGATAAATATTTAGCCCAAGAATTTGTCACTGGTTGCTTTTTCCTTTCCTCCGTTTATCTCGTTTTCTCTTCGTCGTGTCCTCTGTCTCCTGCTGAACCGTCCGCTCTCTTTCTGACTGACCCCGTTACCGCGGCGGGTTCCTCAGTTCCACACTGAAGTCTGATCACGCGTCACACATTCCACATACATCTGCGGTACTTTGAATCTCTCTCTCTCTCTCTCTCTCTCTCTCTCTCTCTCTCTCTCTCTCTCTCTCTCTCTCTCTCTCTCTCTCTCTCTCTCTCTCTCTCTCTCTCTCTCTCTCTCATAATAATAATAATAATAATAATAATAATAATAATAATAATAATAATAATAATAATAATAATAATAATATATATAATAATAATAATATTAATAATCATAATCATAATAATCTTAATCATAAGCATTATCATAATAATAGTCATAATAATAATAATAATAATAATAATAATAATAATAATAATAATAATAATAATAATAATAATAATAATAATAATAATAATAGTAATAATAATAATAATAATAAAAATAATAATAACAATAATATATTTATTTAATATATTATATTCGCATTGGAGGAGAGTGGTTGTTTGAAAAGGTGATTGCTTTCACAGGTAGCCCTTTATCTATCTATCTATCTATCTATCTATCTATCTATCTATCTATCTATCTATTTATCTATCTATCTATCTATCTATCTATCTATCTATCTATCTATCTATTCTATCTATCTATCTATCTATCTATCTATCTAGCTCAGTCTGGCTAGCTAGCTATCTACTCATATATACATAATATGTAGTGCATAATAATGTAAGCTCAATAGTAAATACAGCAGTGGTTATTGTATAACCATCTTCCCTAGACAATATAGAAAAATATAGCATTTCATTGGCACCCCAAGAGCCGCTTTAAAAAAAATGAGGTACGTGGTTCGTAATTTTAATATATCAGAAAAGGAAACAAGCTGCCTGCGTGCATTAAGCACGATAACGTGGAGCCAGAGCTAGAGCTTAGACGATCATGCATTGCCTTCGAACTCCACTTCAGGCACAACTAATCAATTGACGATAGTCTCCTTGTCACTATTATCCTTGGAATACTATATCTACTGAATAAGAAAATAAAGGATAAAAATGATAAATTCATCTTTATTGATCATTTCGGGAAATTTGTTATATAATTAGGTACATAAATACACAAATACATATAAGCATGAATAACACGCAACATTACAAAGAGACAATTCACACATAATTACCGTTGCTGGTCGCCGCTGTGCAGCACCCTGTTTTAAAGCGATGGTCACCGTGTCTTGCAAAAGGACTCTTCCCAGTAACTGTCCACCTAAATGCAATTTCATCAACACATGTTTGACGAAACTATGAGCCTGAGCTAACTGACAAATCTGCCACTGGAGGACCCCCCCCCCCTTCCCCAATCCCCTCCTCCTTTTTCTCATAACTGCTTTAGGGATTCCCGGAAACTTTTACCAACGCAGTTTTGAACTTATACTGAGCGCCGGACGCTCATAATATCTTAAACAGTGGGATAATAGAGGACTGATTTCATTCTAGAGTGTTTTATAACAATGTTAACTATCGAAACCTACATTTTTGTAAATTCTTAAGTTCTAAATTGTGAAAATATGGCAAACTTGTGCTCTTAGGGGTACTGAATGCTGCCTTCATTTTAAATTTTGAGTCCTATAGAGTCAGTGGTTTCTTACGAAAAGTTTCGCTAATGTCGACTCCACCAGAATTATATGCATGTATATAACAGGTTTAAATTTACACAGAATATCAAACACATCTGCATGCAGGCGGTGTTATTTCTTTTTCGGTAAAGGTCTAGATGGGGTCTTCCTTCTTAATAAACAAAAATCGTCTTTCGTGCATGACGTCATAGCTGCCCCAATATTGGTTGCACTGATAGTGGAAACACCAGGCGAGCATAATAGGTCAAATAGGTCAGGAAAAAGATCTCATCTGTGCCGTTGTCACTTCTTCTGTGAGTCCCTCCCCCCCCCCCCCCCCCCCCCAAATAAAAAAAAACGTTTCTGCTTGGCGGTTTGCGATAAACCACTGCACTAAATTGAAAAGGAATCACATCTGCAGTGTGCGCGTAAGTGGAGAGGAGGCGGGCCAGATCGATGTGTAGAAAACACCAACAAATCAGCCACCTGCCGGCAACCCCGCCTGGTGCCTGAGCTTTTGACTAATATCTGTGTATCTAGGATTTCGTCGTAAATGTTCATCAGTTATGAAATCACAAAGATACATGATGATGACAAACACATAGACTACATCTGTACTGTCTACGACAATGGGTTCGTAGTGATTTAGGATTGTGTGTGTTTTATTATTACACTGGAACTCGTGACCTGACAAATGCTTTCGCACTGTGGAGTTCGAAGTAATAAGGAACCAGTTATAAAGACAAACTAACAGTTGGTGTGATAACGAACAAACTCTCGTGCTGATCATCGTTTTCCGCGTCAAAAGGCTCATTGTGATTTAGTGACTCGCGCTTCTGTAACTAGGTGGTTAAAATTGAAAAAAGACTTGAGGTATGCTCGTAGCCTCACCAATACTTGATGAGATAACAAATAGATACACCTGATCCCCGTTGTCTACTATTAGAAGCTCATAGCCATTCAGAATTGTGCATGTATACGGTAGGAACTGTGAGCCAAATCATTCTCCTGCCTGGAACCTGGGCATAAGACTTAAATTGGGGATTCTTTATTTTTAGTTTAGTTTTGGTAAGTGCTTAATGGCACTTGCACAACAATTAGGTCATATAAGAGCCAAACAATTAACTGTGTTGCTAGAGAGAGTAACTTACAAAGAAAAGCAGTTGTAGAGATAATGGAGACAGATGCTTGATATGAAAGAAGGAGAAAATCGCACCACATTGCCCACCAACGACCTACGCCTACGCTTGTGTTACTTAACTGTCGGAAGTCAAAAGACACCTGTTATGCAGACGCTAATGCTTGGTTTGGTTACGAATAACTAGACAAGAACCATATAGTATGCGGCAGTACGCTCACCGTAGCTAAGAATAATAATGTTATAGATCCAGAGTCTATTGCAACATTGGATGCGTCATCCACACCAGACGTAGCATGGATCTTGAAAGAAGTTCTTTTCACAATCCTTTTATTATAATGGGCTCTACATCTGGAGGATTACATTGGTGTTTGTGCTTTGCAGCGATTATTTCAGGCATCTTTGGTGAGACGCAAATCCAGTACGTTCTAGCGTTCCCAAAACATGTCAAACACGCCGTTGCTTCATTGGCCATCTCGCCTCTCTCACAGGACTTTGTTCAGAACGTCGAGGTCACTGTAACAGCACCCGCACGTAAGACTTCATCAGGTGAAATACAGACTCAGAAATATTCACACAACTTTACGTCCGTCTCAAACGAGCAATGGCTGCTTAATCTGGAGCATTTGGTTCATTTCAAGAAAACTGGCATAGGGAAAAAACAGGGAATCATAGTGAACTCCACCTCTCAGGTTGTCGTCCAGGCAAGAAGTTTGAAACTTGAAATACATGAATCTACCAGCAAAAGTGCTGGAGCGTTCAATGTCATGCCCGTCAGTTTGCTATCCTGTGAATATTTAGTGGTCACCGAAAGTGTACATTTGTCTTCTTTCCTTCTCGTCGTGAACTCAGAAGGATTCAATGATGTCACTATCGAGTTTGCCTTCGAACCCGCTGAGAGTACTATCACTTACAAAAAGACAACAATTTTCTATTCTGGGCAGTATTTACGAGAGTCTCTGGAGCCTTTAGATGTTCTGCAAATCTTGGGTGAAGGAGCTGACCTAACAGGTACTTGGGTCAGGGCAGAGAGCCCTGTAGCTGTCATCGCTGGAGCGAATTTTGACTGTGTTTTTATAAGGACTGTCCCGTGCAATTATAAAGATATGATGATAGAGCAATTGCCTCCTGTGTCTGCTTTAGGGCAAGACTATGTTTTAGCACCTTTTCGTAATGACGATAAAGATTCTCTCATCAAAATTGCGTACGTCTCTCCGTCTACAACTCTTTCCGGTCTGGAGCATATCGAGATGAAAGAAAACACTTCTAAAAATACTTCTACATTTTTCTCATTTCAGTTAGGAGACACAGTTACGTACCTGCACGCCACTGGTCCTATCTTAGTTCTACAGTATTTTATGCCACTCTTAAATGGAACAGGTAAAAGCCATTTTGATTCGTCCTGTGCAGTGCTATATCCTATACCTGAGTGGAGCACTCATTCAGAGATTGCTATGTTTGATGACACAAATGTCCACATTTTGATTACAGCGCTATGCGAATGTATAATAGAAATTAATGTAAGTGTGCCTATTGGAAAAGTGTACACATCATCTGAACCGCTTGAAGTGCTAGAGACTCATCGCTATTGCTCTAGAGAATTTTTCATCACTACAATTACAACTGGGAATAAAATCAAAGTGAATGGTGAGCGTTGTTCTTTCAGTGGTTCCATGTTTAGTGCTGATAACGCTGTCCTCGGCTGGGCTGTTTCACTTCCAACTTACAAATCTTCTGACGCTAACACTGAGTCGTGTGAGCGTCATTTGACGAGTACAGAGGTGACGACGTCTCGCGACAATCATACACAGACTTTAGAGGAAACGTCTCAAGTCCCAGTTTCAAAACGTCCAGGGAATTTGTGCCCGTGCACATGTCTCCTTGACTCTAAGAATTTTCAGGACTTACTAAATGAAACAGTCTTGTCCTCGAAGATTGCCATCATCCAGAGGTCTCTCCACGTACCTAAAGCGAACCTCTCCAGAAAACTTAGGAGTAAAACATCCGCTATAGACCCCAGACCGTCCTGCACTTCAGTTGGTTTTGTCGTGTTTGCCTGCACGTTTTTGCCAGTGTTTGGGATTCTAGTTTTTGATGATTTCTATAGGATATGGCAATTTCTTGTCCACAGAAAGACGAAATAACATTGGAACAGAACATGCACACCAAAGAAGTTGATAGGCATGCCTTCATTTGTTTCAAAGGGTTCGTAAGACGTTCCACTGTAATTTTGTTCGTTGAAGAACGATGAAGGACGCAGTTTTGTAAGATTCATGCGTCTTTGTTCAGGTAGCATTGGTTATCAACTATGTGAGTACCTCTGCACATAAGAATGGATACAGTAGCGATGACACAGAAGGAATCATTTAGCCAAAAAATAAATCATTTAATTAGGATGGGGTGGGAGAGGAATCTGCAGTATTAACATATATTAAAGAAAGTATCTATAGTATGAACGTAATAAAGATTTCTGGTATATTAACACAATGAAAGATTCATCTTGTATAGGTATATAGTGGACGGTATTGGAAGCAAGAACACAATAATATTGGGATTTTGTTATGGCAATAACACAGTTTAAGTTTTTGGAACTGGAAAATGTTCGGAAGAATTAGCACAATTAGTTGATCAAAAAGGAAAAATGAACGCAATTTTTGTACCGTTAACACTGATGAAGGTATCATGAAAGATTTCAGTAGCATTAACTAATATGTTGTATTTATTAACTCATTGAAAGACATTAAAAAATTTAGTACATTGTGTTTGCTTTTTAAGAATTAACACAGTTTTTGTAGCATTAACGCGAAAGAAAGTGTTGGTAAAACATTACCACAACGGGGGTATCAGAAGCATTGATATTACTGGGGAGTTTTTGCAGAATAAATGCAGTTGAAGGTTTTGTTACCCCAAAACAACTGAGTGTTTCTACATCATAACAATTTAAAGATTGGTCTCATTGGCCACACCAGAAGGCACAATTCAGCTCAATTCTATTTTCTTCGTTTTGTCGTTAAGAAGTTTCAAAAATTCTCCTCAGCCAAATCATGGGTCATCGTTAGACATTGACAATTATTTACTACATAGGGATTAACACAGTTTTTGTGACTGGCAATTTCAGTAGCACCAACATAGAGGATGATATTCTGAGCATTAATGCAAAAGGAAGGTTTCAGAAGCATTAACACATAGTAAGATATTTAAAGCATTAACACAGATTAAAATAATTAATTCAGCATTAACAAAGGGCATGGTATTTATAGCATTAACGCATGATAAGGTATTTGTAAAATTAACACTGGCTAATGTATTTGTAGCATAAACAGAGGCTACGATATTTGTAGCATTAACACAGTGGACGATTTAAGTAGTATTGACTCACTGTAAGGATTTAGAAGCATTGGGACAATGTGGGGAGCTTATGTAGAAATAACAACAGCTAAAGGTTTTGTATGAAAGTTTCCTTAGCATTGATAAAACGGATAGTAGTTGTAGCTTTACCATGAGGAACGAAATACAGTCGAATCTGCCTTAACGTCACCCCTTCCACAGGTTACTGTACGAACCTCCACTGTTTAGTAACGCCATTACTTTTTCCTTCTAAATTTAACCTGTCCACAGCGGTCCTTGTCCAACACAGCCACGTTCAGTCATTTTTGAGACAAGTCGGTCTCAGAAAGTGCTCATAGCGGTCACTTGCTACAAAGGTTTTCGCTAACCTGTCCTCAGGAAGAATGTCTTCGTTCAAGGAATGTGAGGAAGTTCGTATGATAGAAAGCAACATTGATGGAAATGAACTAGAGAGATTTTTTTAAAATAATAAATGTCAGCTTTTAAACAACCAAGTCTTGTAAGGGACCATAAGTCAGACCATGTCCACAGCGAACTTTTTGTCTATGTCCGTTACTTTTCTCTGTGATCTTGAGTGAGCGTTATGAGCAGGTTTGGGTGTATGTAGCTTTAAAATAATTATAATGGGATGGCACTATGGATCAGACTGTAGTCGGAGCTACGTCTTGCAGGAGTAGAAAACGGCGAGTCGGACTTCCAAAAAAAAAAAAAAAGTAATAGGTGTTTTTAGGCTGCGATCGACACAGTTTAGAACATTTAGGAAGCGGGCTTCGACCCTGTCTTCCAGCCAGGACCAACATGGACTGAGAGGGATACTGAACTGTTGTCGTCATGATGCGTAAAGGCATGGGGGAGGGGGGGGGGGGGTAACTTTCCTTTTATCAATTATTTCAGGAAGGAAAAGTAAATGTCATACTGCAAGTAGATTTGAATCTAGAGGGTTTATGTTTATTAAAGGGGGGGGGGCTACACCCGAAGGCTATCTCGCTCATTACACTGAACTGAATTTTACCAAATTTTACAAATATAACAAGCATAGTAAGGAGTTTTAAAATCCGCAATCAAATTTGAGATACAAGTTTCGTTTCCATGGATACGGCGGCCATATTGGATTTTGTTGACATGTCATACGTAATGAATACCACACTTACTGCTAAAGGAAATTGTTTTTTTGTGGGTTTTTTTGCATGCGTGTTCACCAACATTAGTTCTAAATATTTTTTCTTTTGTTTTTTTCCTAAACGAATTAGAACATTTTTAATGAATTTTTTCCTGAGGTAGTATTCAAGTTTGCAAAAAATCCGAGGAAATTCACACTCAAGATGCCCCCAACAAAAATCTATTCCGTATATCAAATATTCAACAGACAAATTCTAGTATTACATCTTCTCTTCATTCTGTGGAAATTTCAAGAAGATTGGGGGAAAAGCGGTGGAGTTATTCAAAAAAGTACAGAGAAAAGTAGCGTTTTGAGAAAACGGCCGATAAAGAAAAATAAAATATTGAATTTATTAGGAATTTTGGTGACAAACATGCCCGGTATGGGAAGGAATGAGGTTTTGGGGGTTCTTAAGTGATGAAATAGTTGTAGGAGAGGGTGAGGAAGCTAAAAATGCCTACAACTCAAATTCCATAATTTTGAGCCGAATCGGGACTTTGGGGGTGTAGCCCCCCCCCCCCCCCCCCCAAGCACGTTACCAGCTAACCACCGTATTATACACCAGCAAATTTTAGTGACTAATGATATAGGTTCCATCCATGCTCCTGAGATGATCATGAAGATCAGAGTATACTATATGTGTGTGCCTGGAGAAAGGTCCAAGTTGTCGGCAAAGTTATTTTTTAGCAAAGAGGTGAAAAGGCCATCAAAAAGTCGTACCTGGTCCCAAATTTAGTTTCACCATACCTTTAACCATTTTTAATACCATTTTTAAAAGATTTTATAATATTTTGAGATGAAATATTTGTTTCTAATTTTTGCTACACGTTGTACTTCGCCAAAGCTAGAAATTGGGTTTTTCTCTAAACTGTTTTTACGCCTTGTGTCACAAAATGTGGCACATCTTTGAAACTACTCAAGATATTTGAACCTTTAAAAATCAGCATACTTAGCCTTGAATTGGCTAGCTACAAGAATGTGCCTGTATTTCAATATTCAAAGTTCCCGACATTTAGGACCTTTCTCCTGCCACACACACACACACACACACACACACACACACACACACACACACACACACACACACACACACACACACACACACACACACACACATGGGAGATCGCTTATAAGTCCACGAGGAATTTTCTTTTCAGGAGAGAGAAAAAAAATTGTTTTTCTTTTGAAAAATGTTTGGGGTTTGTTTTTTTAAGAGAGAGAGAATGTACATTTATCATGCATCTTTCTAATGTACTTTTTTCTTAAAATTAGAACTTGAAACTCTGAAAAATATTTCTTGAGCCTATGCAACTGATGACACAGATTTAGAAACTGTCAGTTTGTTTTATTTTTCAGTTCAACATTTTGGGTTTCATATTTTATTATCTGGACGGCTGGCTGACGTTGCGAGTTATTGGGTATTGTTCATGAGATTGAATAAAATGTGACTTTTACTACAGAAAGCAGGTTACGAAAGTGTATTATTAACTCTGTGTTTGTGAACGTGAGTGTGTGTGCATGTGTGTGTGTGCGTGTATGTACGTGTGTGTACGTGTGTGTACATGTGAGTGTGTATGTGTGTGTACATGTGAGTGTGTATGTGTGTGTACGTGTGTGTACGTGTGTATGTGTGTATGTATGTGTGTATGTGTGTAAGTGTGTGTATGTGTGTTTACAGGTGTGTATGTGTGTTGTGTATGTGTAATGTGTGTGTACATGTGTGTGTGTATATGTATGTGCCTGCGTGTGTGTGTGTGTGTGTGTGTGTGTGTGTGTGTGTGTGTGTGTGTGTGTGTGCGTGCGTGAGCGCGTGTGTGTGTGAATATAAGTGTACATGAAATGCATTTGGATTAATATGTGGGGGGGGGGGAGGTTCTTATAAACCCTCAAAATTCTGTCATTGTCCTTCCCCGCTGCTCTCTTTGCTCTAGCCACGTTGTTTTGCCAGCAGCTTTTTACCAAAATGAATCAGGTTGCCTTCTTTGTCTTTCACGGTCTTTAGAGACTTGTTTAATAATATCCAAGATGGTGCGCTCTGGCGTGATTCCGGTTTACCATTGAGCGCACCATATGACTCTAGGCATTTTTAAAAAAATGGGTAAGTGTTTTACAGCGCTTGCAACTGCATAAGGCCATATGAGCGCGCAGGGCACAATACACATTTACAGTTGGTAGGAAAGTTTAAATTTTGCCCAGGTGATGGCCGAAGCCTATTCTTGACGATTTTAAGACTACCAGGGGATCTTTAGCGTGCGCATTGTGCCCACGGGACCTCTGAAATCTTTGACCCTTACTCGAGAAGTTTAGATGTAGACATTTTCTACCAGAAGATCAGCGGTGTGGCAGAAAGACAGCAGTAAGGAGGAGCCAAGGAGTAGCAGTAGAAAGGTAGCAGAAAGAGTCAGGAGCCCAGAGGAGGGGGCAAAGGAGGTGAGGGGGTGGAGGCAGAAAAGAGAATGAGAAAGCAGACGACAGAATATTGCTAAAGAGCGGCAAAGGAGGTGAAAGGAGACCATTTTAGAGAAGTATTTTGTTCTTTCGCTACTCAGATTCGAACCCTAGACCGTTGAATGAGAGGCGAACATCTTAACCTCTAGGCCACGAGAGCCCCCTAGGGCTCTCTGGAACCAAATGAAGGTCATGGAGAGAGAGATTACGCGTCCACTCGACTAGCCTTTAAAAAGAATGCTATTTTTTGCTATTTGTGCGATCATGGTGCGTACCAGTGCAACGAAGTTTTTATACTGAGTAAAGAACGATATTACAATTGAAGACTACGCAGGACTATTTAGCAAGTGCTAACAGATTGTGCAAAGCCAGGCTGTTTATACCCAGGAAAAACAATTTATACAAAAGGCAGCCTACTGCAGATCTTGCGTAATAATGCCCACGTATAATTTAAATCTGGGCTCAGCTCGATCATGCACCAATGGAACTGACATTGTTGCATTGGGTATTGTTTGATTTGTTTTGTACCGAGTTTTCAATGGCACTGTTTGATCTTTCTTTTGTACCGAGATTTCAATGGCACTGCTCGGTTTTTTGTTTTGCATCATTCTTTTAACGGTGCTGGGATTTTTTGTTTTTGTTTTGTTTTTGTTTCTTTGTTGTTGGTGGTGATGTTATTATTGTTATTGTTTTTGTTGTTGTTGTTGTTGTTGCAGTTGTTGTTGTTGTTGTTGTTGTTGTTCTTGTTGTTGTTGTTGTTGTTGTTCTTGTTGCTGCTGCTGTTGATGCTGTTGTGGTTGCTGTTGCTGTTGTTGTTTTTGTCATTGTGGTGAGGTTTTAAATGGCGTTGTATGATTGTTCTTTTGAACCGAGGCCATATCTCTTTCATTATCCCCCTAAAGGTTTCTCCTAGCCAAGCTGCTTTTATCTTTTCTCTACCCGAAGAAGGGAATCCAATGATAATAACGGTAATATTCATAACAGTAATAATAAAATGTGGAGAAGAAGAAGAGGAAGGAGAGTTAGCCAGGGTAGTGAGAGGTATTATTTATTGCCCTGCTTGGAAAAACGTGTAGATTTTTAAAAAATTGTCTCCTTGAAGGAGGCAAAAATGGACGCTGGCTACAAAAAGTTTGAGAAGCACTGGTTTGGAAAACATGATGTGTAAGTCGGATGCCCGCATCGTCCCCTTGAAATTTCAATTCTATGAATTCTGTCCAAGTAAGAACAATTAAATAAAATATTACTCTGGTGGCGCCAGTACAGTATAATTTCCTGTTCTTCTTTCTCTATTCGTAAAACATTCGCTTTATCACGCGACTAAGAATAAATGCAGTGGTGACATGTTCTGCCGAAGAAAGATCAGCCATTACACCATTCAAGTTTTTGGGTAAGAGACTCGGGTTCGATGCGCGTATGGGTAGAATGTTTATTGAGTATTTGTAGTTTTTCTGCTGAGATGTTGTATCCCTTTCCCCCTGGTTTGCCCTTGCATGCAGGGTCCTAACCCACTTCCTAAATTATCTAAGTTGCGAGCATGGAGGCGTAAAATTATCTACTTAATTATTAAATAATA